TAGGCTATCATCTTAGGTTGTTCTTGACCCTCTTTCCAGTAGTTGTGATGAATGTGAATGATGACCAGGTATCATATTTCTCTACCCTGAGGGTTCATTAGTTTGGCAGTTTACTCGGATATTGACACTTATTCACCTAGGTTTAACGCCAATCTACACTGGTTTGAAATATAGCAAAGGGTGGTTAATAGTGGAATTGGATGTGTTGTAAGACATATTATTCTGTTGGAAGGTATGTATCCAAACATATTACCACTTGTGCGTGCCTAGTAAAAGTATCAGAAAAAAAAATTGATTTTGATTATTTCGACCATTTCGGATATCCGAAATGATCCATTTCGACTTCATGTATAATTTGAAACCTATTATAAAGTATAGCTTAAAATTTATAAACTTTTTCAAAACCTTTAAAATACCTTTATTTTAAATCTGAAACTTGATTAAATTTAATTGAGTTTAAAAAAGCCTATTAGAAGTTTAGGTAAAGATATTTATTATAAATAAATAATTTAATTTAATTTCAAATATCTTGAAATTCAAATTTTCTAAAAATAGTTTAGAAATGTATCTTTAATATAAGAGTTGTAGGTAAACTTAGCTACTTATCTATTATAAATTTTTTTTTAATTTACTTTTTATAAAAATTATATTTTTTTATATCAAATTATAAATATATAAATTTAAAACATTTTTATTTTTAATTATATAATAAAAAAAAATATTTAATATAATTTAAAATCTAAAAATTTGTAATTTTTAAAAAAATTTATTATTTATCTTTAATAATTTTATAAGAAATTACTTTTAGTCATATTAATCTTATAAAATTTATAATAAAGAAAATTTTTGTAATTTTATAATTTATTTGGCTTTTATTAATGATAAAGTGATTTCAGATATATGAATTTTTAAAATTTATTATAAAAAAATTTAAAAATTAAATGTAAGCAGTATATATTTTTCTATAAATGTATATACATTATACTCTATATTCTCATGTATATATGAATCATATAAAATTTTCTCTCTTTCAATACACACCTTCTTAAAATGCACATTTTTTCAAATTTTCACTAAGAGAGGGTTTTAATGTAATAATGATATTACAAAAAATTAATATTTAATACTTTATTAAGAAATTAATAAATTTATTAAAGTTGCCTGTTGGGATAGTAATTACTTATTTAATTATTTAAAATTTATATTTATAAAAATAAAAGTTTAATAAAATAATTAATATTTTAAATTTTTAAAAATTTAGTATATCATATATAAAATAAAGATAAAGATTTATATATAATACTATATTTATTTATATAGCTATTAAAATTCACCAAAAAATATAAATTTCTGACGTTGTCATTTCTCTTTTTTATGTTATCTCTATATCCTTCTTCATGAAATAATATAAGGTTGCATTGACGTGACACTTCATCACATTTGACGTGTTTAGGAATGTTATCCACCTACCTTTTTGGAGCTGCGTCTCAATTCAAAATATTAACATATTCACTAAACATTGAATTTTCTTCCAAGTTACTAAATTAATAAGAATGTAAAGCTGCTCTCAATAATCATTCAAAAATAATCTTTTATAATTAAATTGGTTACAGTACGACTTAATATCTTTAAAATTGGGAATTTCAAATGTTCGTTGTAAGTTTAATATGTAATTGAGTTTCGAACCTCTAACTTAAAGAATGAATTCGTATTTCTATGATGTTAATAAATGGGGGGGGGGTTTATTTGATATATACTAAATACAAAATAATTGGTCTATTGTAATATTAAAAGAAAAATCAATACAAATTGTCATGTATTTTGAAAAAATAAAAGTAAATAATTATTTATCTATAATATTTTTGCTTGAGAATGTATATAAGAAGAAGCAACATAAGCCATGCCGTCATTATTATTGTTAGATTTTAAAGAATTTAAGGTAGGTTCGTTTTTAGTAAAAGTTTGAGTAGTCCTACGCGGTTGTTTTAGCGATGGGAACGATTTAGAATTTGTATCCTTTTGTTTTTCGAGTTCCGAATAAAGCTAAAAAGGAAAAAATAATAAAAAAAATAAAATATTTGTCTATCATAAATATATCATGTACAAAGTTTCCTTTGAAAGGGATCATTCCTACCTTGATGACTTTGGATAATTTAGCAAAATTAGGATCGTCATATGGTAAACATTCCCTCTCTTTTCTCATCCTTTGAGCGATTTCAGTAAAAGTAGGACATTTCAAATAATTTGTCAATTGCTGATTGCATTTACCACAAACCATACCATTATTATTATTACTCCCACCACTATTGTTATTGTTGCTTTCATTATTATTCTTAACGGCTACCTTGTTCAATTCTTCTAAATTAGATTTAGGAAATCCGCAAGTGGAGCAAGCAACCATATGATTATGTACATGTTTAGCTAATTCACAATTAGAACATAATTGTTGATCTACCAAAGCTTTTCTCGCTTTTATCATTTGTTCCATGTGTAATAACCATTCATTACAAGAAGAACATTCGGCGAAATCAGAATTAGGTTTACCACATGCCCCACAAGTACCGTAAAATCTCCGTTGTAAATCCGTAGCACTCATTACTGGAGGTATAATTTGCAGAGATTGCTGAGATGAATAACTCCTATCATTTCTATAAGGTGGATAAGGTGCAACATTTATGGGAGATTGAATTATATTACTACTATCGTTTTCTACTTGAACGCTATGTCTTTTTACAGGCATTGAGCTTCTTCTTTCTTCAATCATTGGGGGAAATGTAGGGACTGAAACAGGAGGATATTGATTTGAGTTTGCTGGCACGCGAAATCCACCAGGATTTGTATTCGGATCGATAAATCCTCCTGGGTTTACCGAATTTGGTGCAATGAAACCACCCGGATTCGCTTTTGGTTTGTTAACTTTATGATAATTATTATGATTATACATTGGATTATTTTTGCGGATAGAACTCTACTAATTATTTTTTTAAAAAAGTAAAAAATTTATTTATTCTTTTAGAGAAATGATTTCAATTTATTTTTAAATTAAGCTGAAAATTTATTATGAAGGTTGGAAAGTGATTTTAAGAACAATTGATGAAAAGGTTGAAATTTTTCAGTATTTAAAGAAAGAAGAATATTTGCAACACAAAATTATTTGAATTCCCAATATTGGAAAAATAATAATGAACAAAAAAAAAAATATGTACGTGTGATTGTTCCATTTCCATTTTGAAAATTTCAAAAGCATACGACACTTTAATTCTTTTACCGAATATAGCAACATAATAACTCATATATCGGGCTGGAATTACCAATGAAAAATTCTAGAGCCGCAGTACTTACAGACACGTCACTTTTTTTATAAAAAAAGGAGATAAATATTTTTCCAAGCCGCAAAAAAAAAGTATAAAAACCCGCATAGACCATGATTTCTTTCCCGCCCTTTTTTTTTTTAATTTTAATTTTTTTATTTCCCATAAATTAAACAAAGAACGTGCCAACAATTTTATTATATTTATATTTATCATGCGTTTCATTATTAATATACAAAAGATTAGTTTTGTGATCGGAATGTAAAGTTTCTATTCGCTCCTTCAAATTTAAAGCCACTACTAAGCATTTCTGTAGTGGTTTACTATTTTTAGTTGATCATGGTTACGCAATTTTTTATATCACGTAATAGATTAGACAGATTATCAACATTTTTTTAAAAACGAAAAAGTCTATAGATATTCAGCTGATTGACTAAATCAAATAACGAAAAAACCCGAAAATCCACCCCTTGACCATAAATGGGTTGTGTCAGGTAACATCGACGGTTACACCGTGGTAACACCGTGGTAACCTACAATTGTTGCCCATATTAGATATCCATCCAAATATCGACAGAAAAAATGGGTCGTACGGCAAGGAGAAACAGCGAGCAAGAACTCTTCTTCAGTAGACAGGCAAGTCGAAAGAAATATAACCTTTGCGCAAAGTGTAAGAAAGAAGAAAGTAAGTTCTCTTCCTGTTCGTTCCTCGTGCCCTTTATATACCATAGTTTACTTATACGTGGTTTCAAATTTCTGAAAATTTTGACAATTTGAGTTGAAGGAATTCAAAACTTATTCTTTTGCTCAATTTTAACAACAGTGGTTTTAGAACTCACTTTTCGTTGATATTGCACGTATTCTTTTTAGGTTTAGATGGTCGTTGGATACAATGTGACAAGTGTACCTTATGGTACCATACAGCATGTGTAAGGATTCAACTCAATGATAACGGTGAGTTCTACGGTGACTACTATTGTCAATTGTGTACTGGTTTTCCAGATCCAATTGTCCAAGAAATTCGCCCGAGGTAATAAATTAAAAATAATCTTTTCCTTTTAACTATTTTGTATATGTATTTTTTTTTTTTTAAAAATTTTGTAACTCTAGGTGTGTTCTTTCTTGTTTGGAAAATTTAAAAAAATGGCTTCAGTATAGATAAGTATTAACGTGAATTTTTTTATATTTATCTTCCCTCCGTATTTTTCTCTTTCCCTTCGTTTATTTCTTTAATAGCGAAGAAGATTGTGAACTGAATAGTAGACTTTCCCCTTCTTCGTCAACCTCCTCTTCATCTGGTGCAAGTGGCCCACCTACCAAAAAGTTTAAAACTGGGTCTTCGCACGCCAAACCTTTACAATTCCCGCTTTCTCCATCCACGTCTACACCTATGGAAACGGAAATCATGAAATGTGAAATGGGCAAAAACAATAAACATAATCACAATCACAACCATATTCATCACAATTCTAACAATAATAATAATGATCATGGTGTTGAAGGTAAGAACAAAAAGGTTTTTATTTGAGAAACTAGAAATCAAAAATATCTCTCTCTCTTCCCCACATCTTCCAAATTTTTCTTAAAAAAAAAAAATAAAAAAAATACTTATTCTTTTTCTTGATGCGTATAGAAACGCCGAAGAAAAAAAAGTGTAAATTACAAAAACATGAATCACCTCTTAGGCCTAGTAACGTAAACGTCGAAATTCCTCGTTTATTTGAAACATCAAAATTTTTAGTCCCAGATAAACCGATATCTCGACCGTACGACTGGCCAAATCCTGTTCCTTACTCTCGTGCCGTTATTAGAATGAGTCAGATACGCGAATTTATTCTAACGCACTGTCCGAAGGCCGCAGCAGTTGGAATTATCGATGACACACCAGAACCCAAACCTAAATCATTACAGATTGCAGAAGATTTGTGGAAGAAATTGGATTCACTTGAACAGAAATATAATCAGCATAATCAGGTTTAAAATATTTGCTTTATTGAGGAGCTTTAATCTTTTTTTTTCCAAACGAACTTTTTTACTTGTAGTGTATGTTTCTTTTTTATTTTTATTTTTTTTTTTTATATAATATATATATTTCTTGCATAACTGGTTGGGATATAAAGGATTAAACAAAAAAAAAGGAGTTAGTTTTTTTAAACTTGTTAATTTTTTTTTCTTTTTTTAATATTTTATTCTATTACACCATTTTTTTTTTTTTTAAAAAAAAAAAAACAAGTTTTAACTTGTTAATTCTCTTGGAAAAAAAAAAGTTTTTTGATTATCATTAGTATAGAATATAAAATAACAAAAAAGCCAAATTTTCATTAGATATATTTTTTTTGTAAATAATTTCAATTGTTTTAAATTATAATAATATTAACAACGAAAAAAAAAAAAGGGAAAGAAAAAAAAATTTACAAATTCCTTTAATTTTGTGTCGTTTTTGTTACGCCCAATGAGTAAAAAACCTAAAAAGGTTGTTGTGCAACATAAAGACAATCAAATACTTTTGTGCTTTCGATTGTTGTAAAATCCATTGTTGGTGGAGCGCAAATCGTGGCTGAGCGGGTCCTTTCAATATTTTGATCATAAGGCTTTGAAGCTTTATCGGTAAAATCAAATCCCTTGTCCTAAATGAAATAATTTATAATTTAAATTCACACCTATGTTTAAAGGATTCTAGGATTCTATTTGTTTTTCGTACTCCATCATCGCAAATACAACCTATTTTAAATGTGTCGTCCCGATATTCATAATTACAAAAATTTATAATTGGTTTTCCGATCACTTTACAATTTTCATTACACACCCTTTGATAATCATGACAATTAAATCTACAATGATCTGATGTAACTTTAATGTTACTTGGTTGTAACATTTCTGAAATCTTTTCTGAAAATGAAAATTTTTTATCATTATCGCAAAAACATTTCGATGTAAATCGATTTGATGATAATTGTGAACAACTATTATTCTTGATTGTGCTCTTTGAAGAAGAACATGTCGTTGTAATCATCTTATCACACATCGAGGTGAATGCCTTACAGGTTTTGATAGAAACCTTTTTATCAACCTTAAATGAAAACGTTTTCGGTGATGAGTTCGATGTTCTTGACGTCGGTGATGAACTATCGTAAGCGTTACGAATGATCACATCATGCTCTTTCTCTATAATAACTGATCAGATGTCATATTGGTAAAGATTTTATTCAAGAAAACAAACAATCAATCAATGACGAAAAAAAATTTTTTTCCTTACTCTTATGCTTCGTTAATCTGATCTTAATACTTTGACAATCGCTATTTGATTTGAAATTCAAATAATTTGACACAATTGACACAAATTCTTCACTAGAAATGGGTTTTGACGAAATTACTAAAATTAATAATTAATTTACATCATGAAATGCTATCTTATATACTTACCAGTTTCCTGCCTGCCTATTTTTATTCTCAAGTGAAATTTGGTTGGTTTTTAAAGTTGGATTCAAAAGTACATTTACGTTTGAAACATCATTTACTTGAATGCAATTCCCATGACACGGAAAATATATTAAATCGATGATTTGATTTTCATTCAAGGTGGAAAGATCTGGGTTCAAATTATTTCTCAAATCATTATACGAAAATCCTGAAGCATACTGCAAATTTTGAAAAAGAATGAAAACAGAAAGAATGAAAGATTTATTGAAAATCATGTTGAAATTATATAATGAAATATGCAGAAGAAAAAGAAGGAAAATTAAGAGCGGAAATGATTTGGATAATATTTATACTGTATATCATCCATGTACTGTACTGTTGTGTGATTCGTTATTGTTTTATTCGTTTATTATTTGTTTAAAAAAAAAATTTGAATCGATCCGCATTATGCATATTTAATTAATTAAGGAACACAAATGATCAAACAATTTTCTTGAAAAGTTGTTTTCAAGGAGATGTATGCGTGATCTTCAGAGATCTTGATGATCAGTCTATTTTTCCGAATCTCATTTTTTTTTGTTTAATATACTGTAAAGAAAACAAATTTTGGATGAGAAAACTGCCCCCCCAAAAAATGATTTGACTGCTAAAATCATGTTTTTTCCACCTTCTTTTCTATTGCAAAAGACTCTTATGAAAATTCCACGAATGTAAATTATTAATTAGGTGATAAATATTTAGAAAATATTAAAAAAGACCAATTAGAATATTTTCGAGTAAAAAAAAAAATGACTAAATCAGGTTAACATAAAAATATTACCATTTTCTTATATTGTAATACAAACAATTTAAAATTTTTATTTGTTTATATAATCATTGTAAATTAATTAATAAATTAAAAGGTTAGTCTTTAGGTAAACTTAAACATTGTAATGATGCTCTATGCTCCAATTGACTCGGAGCTTTTACCAATTTTATCGTAAAGTTTTGACATGTGAATCGAAGTTTCTCTGAAGGGAAATTATCTGATGTTATGCATTAACTCGATGCAAGGAATAATGAGCATGGTAAAATCATATATTGTTACATAAAAAAGTGTGATGTCAGGCCAAATACGTAATTATAATTACTATATAAATAAAAACAGTATAATATCTACTTTTTAATATATTGTAAATATCTACATAGTGGCATCAGCCTTGGCGAATGTGTAATCGACTTGGCCAGTCATTAAACGCTTTTCGGTCTACTGACTCTCATGAAAATTTTCGATTTAATAAAAAATATATATATCGATAATTTAGCTGGAAAATCAAAATTGAATTTTGCTAGAATCCACAATTAGATTAGAAATTTTGAATTTCGTCAACATCCATTTTAAGACTAATTTGATTTGGATGTTCTGCATCAAAATTTGGTTAAATTACGAACTTTTACATTAAAAATAACGGAGATAGTGTAGATAGTGTAGATCAGCCAAATCAGTCACGACTAGAGTCGACTCAGTCGACCGGACTAACTATTATATCCTTTATGAAAAAGGAGATGTCCGGAAAATGTCCCGGGTTTACCGTGCATGTCCGGAACAACTAGAAATTGCGCCGAAGAATCTTTCCTATAAGCATAGTTAATGCAGCCAACACTGTACATTTTATTCATGATTGTAAAGATGGTGAATGTATTGGGTGTAATCACAATCTTGGAAATAATTTATATCTTAGAAATTTATATTTCTTTATTTAATGTTAACATTTAATTAGTATTTAGTGTGTATTCATCAATTTATTTACTTATTAGCATAATAGTTACCACCTCGTCACGAAATGTTTTTAACTTTCGATAATAATATTATACAAAAATAAAAAAATTATTACTACTAAAATTTTACACTTTGCAACAATTTCGATAGTATTTTAGATAACGATCATCTTAAGGCGCAGTATCTGCATGTAGACAAATTACATAAATACCTAAATTGCAAACGATAAATGCTCGATTTGTCCACGATTCAGTCACGGTTTAATACATTTCATATTGCACTACTTCATCTTTACCTTCTTCATATCGCAATTCTTCATCTTTCACTTCTTCATATTGCAATTTTTCATATTGCAATACTTCATTTTTCACTTCTTTATAAATTTGGCTTTTCAAATGCTTCTTTGTTACATTCCCTTATTCGGATATTTTTTTTTGAATGGATCTCATTTATCATATCCATTTATAACCATGACGTTACACGAAAACCAATCCAATGTATTTGAACATTTTCGATTTATCGTTGAACCTTTCAATTTATTTCAATTTTTTTTAAAAAAAAGTAATGTACAGTACAAAAATTAAATTACATTTGAAATTCGATTTTTGATTATGGTAATTATAAACTTTGAAGATAATGAATATAATGCAAATAAAATCGGAGAAATTTTGGTGAAAACTTCGCTATTAGAGATGTTATAATATTTAAAAATATTTATGTAATTTTTTGAATAAATTATGATTTTTGTGTTATTATCTTCATGTTCGTGAAAGTAATGTTTCTCTTCTTTCACTTCTTCACATTGCAATTCTTCATATTGTACTTCTTCAAATTGCACTTCTTCATCTTTCACTTCTTCATCTCTCAGTAATTCTTCACATTGCACTTTTTCATTTTTCACTTCTTCATATTGCAATTCTTCATCTTTCACTTCTTCATATTGTACTTCTTCAAATTGCACTTCTTCATCTTTCACTTCTTCATCTTTCAGCAATTCTTCATATTGCACTTTTTTATTTTTCACTTCTTCATATTGCAATTCTTCATCTTTCACTTCTTCATATTGCAATTCTTCAAATTGCACTTCTTCATCTTTCACTTTTTCATTTTTCACTTCTTCATATTGCAATTCTTCATATTGCGCTTCTTCATCTTTCACTTCTTCATATTGCAATTCTTCATTTTTCACTTCTTTATATTGCAATTTTTCATCTTTCACTTCTTCATATTGCAATTCTTCAAATTGCACTTCTTCATATTGCAATTCTTCAAATTGCACTTCTTCATCTTTCACTTTTTCATTTTTCACTTCTTCATATTGCA